GAGATTGATATCACCAACTCCCTGCTGACAGTGTGCAGCCATGTCCGCTCATTCCGAGAGAGCCACCAACATTTCCGTATGCACTCCAAGACAGCCAGCTTCCAAGTGGGCAGCATAGAGCAAGAAGAGGAGCAGAGCTCTAGGGAACGGGGTGTCTTGGTCTCTGAATCAAGGTAGGGGCCCACCTCAGTCTTGTTTCTGTAGCATTGGGCCAGGACAGATCTTTCTTCAAGCATCTTCTACTGCCTGCTAGAAGGAATGTTGTAGGGTGGGGTCTAACAGAACCACATGTAAGGACAGATATTTCCAGTGGGATACCCACCTGATACGGTGTCCACCAGGACCTTCTCTTTTTTATAATCTCTGGTGACATCCATCCTTTCGCTTTCTCTGGTAGTCTTAGCTCATTACTGTCCCATCTGGCCTGAGCTGGAGGGCAGTTTGTCTGCAGGTAACTCTCAGACTTCGTGTTTCTGGAGAAATTATGCATCTCCTGCTGCTTGACTCATTTGAGTTTGCTGTTGACTCTGGTGAAAGTGACAGATTTCTTATCTTTTTCTAATGAATAAAGTGTCTTTTTTTTTTAATTAAAACTCTGGAAAAAAATTCACAAGAGAAATATCAAGGCAGAATTGGAATATGCTTGATGTTAAACTTCTGTCCTGCTATTCCTTAGGGTATTTCTGTGGTTTGTATTGCCTCTGGAAATTTAAGGAGGGGAAAAAGTACCTTACTGTGCCTTAGTGTCTGTTGAAGAAACAGCCTCTTTAGGTCCTTTTTCCTCTATTTGCCCTTGACTATCCTCAGTTCCTTTATGTGAATTCACTAGTATTTGTTGGGAATCCCCAATCCTATTTCTTCTTATACTGTAAGTCATCGAGATGGGCTGTGCTTTTGAAGAACACTCGGTGTTTGGAAAGTCAGATGTCTTCTTCCTCAAGTGCTACTTTCCCGGAGAAAAACTGTGGGAACTTTTTTTTATTTATAAGATATTACAAATCACCTATCCCAATGCAGATTGTATAAACATTACTGAAGGACGTACAGCTTGTGCCACATTGCACCCAGATCTGCCAGCTGTATTACTAATTTGAATTCCTGGGGAGTACTTTGACCAAATGACATCCCACTCCCCAAATTGGTTTTTCTGAGTTTTAGGAACTGATTCTGTCATGGAGCTGCTGAGTGAGCATAAGCCTAAGCTTTGCGCTCTGCTCTGTGCTGCCAAGACCCTGGGGGTCCTGGCATGGTGGCATTTCCTGTGAGGTGCCCTGGACTGGGTGTTGGTAATTCAGATTGCTCCAGCCCTGTTCCTATACTCAGCTACGTGTCTCTATTTCCCAGGTAGGGTGTGTAGCATGGTGTAGAGTACCTGGCCATGGGATTAGCATGGTTAAACTGCCTCTGGCCTGGCTTCAGACAGCCTGAGCGCTTATCTGGGTTAGTGGACAGCAGGAGGGTTTCTGGGGCTGTAGGGGTGGGGGCTGTGTAAGTCACATCGTGTTTACACAGATGAGGTGTGGGGAGCTGTGAGGTGGAATGCTTGCAGGGTAGATAATACATACAACTATTCCCATTTCTCGAATTGCCTGTTCCGCACTCGAAGTGCGGAAATGGAGGACTACAGTGAGCAGGACTCCCATAACATTGCTAGCCCCACAGAGGAGCCAAAGAGTGTGGGCACCAGCTGCTGTTCAGAGTTTCCCCTCTCGCTGCTGGAAATTGGACAGCCCTGCCAGGCGCACCCTGACTTGCATAAAATTATCCAGGTGAGGAACATGGGAGCTCGGCTTGGCTTCTGCGGGAGGGTAGAGTGGAATGTCTGCTTCACGTTTGGGATTTCTCTTTTAGGAAAAATTCCTGGAAATTGGAAGTTTACATTTCAAGCCGGTGCCATCAAATCCTCACTATTTCTTCTATTGCCCACCATCAGCCAAGAAAGAGGTAGGCATGGTGCTGCCCTGGCAGGCACCTAGTCCTTGTGGAGGGAAGTAGCTTTGCTTAGTGTCAGATCTGGATTTGGGGCTGGCAGACCCATGGGTAGACTGAGCCCCTGGGGAGCCCATCAACAGCCTGCTTCGCTGCCTGGCATGATTCTGGTATCTGCCCTTCCTCTCTCCTTCTCAGGAAGAGGCATCTCGGGATCAGGCAGACAGGAAAGGCAGTGAGGACATGGAGGGATCAGAGGCAGAACTGGCAGCTGAAGAAGGTAACACTTGCTTGGTCTGTCCTGGAGAAGAAAGTGTCTGTAGTCTTATCTGTGGTGACGCCTTTCAGAGCTTGACTGTCTGGTGGGGTCTCCGGGGACGTGGGCCTGGTTTGCTAACAGGGAACCTGTGTCAACAGGAACTGTGTCTGGGTGCTGCATTGCCACAGAGAGCGACCCAGAGCTAGAGGTGGAGTACCGTGAGAAGCTGGAGCATGAGTTCCCAGATACAGATTCCCTCTCAGACTCCAACACGGTGAACCAGGATGATGACTCCTTCAGTGTGCTGGGAGGGGACTCGCTCAATGAACAGGAATTCCTGGAGCAGGAGATGCCCCCGCTCTTTGTACATCTTACCTGCTCAGTGAAGCTGCGTAGCCAGCACAGTTCCATGCCCGTGCAGTCCCTGCCAACTTGTCTAGGTAAGAACAAGCCTTGCTGTGAGGTCAAAGGGCAGTAGGGCTTCTGTTGGGTCCCTGCTGGGTGAGCAGCCCCTGGAACAAACATGCTGTGTCCTAAACAGCAGTCCCTCTGGACCAGCCCTCCCTGTACGGAGCCCCCAGGGCATCCCAGCATCAGATAAGGGCTTTTTCACCAGGTCTCCCACTTGCTGTGGGATTGGTCGTGGAAGGGTGAAAGGATCATGGAGAATGGTGGCCTTCTTGAGCCTGTCCGGGTGTGTGGGACAGCCATCTCTTGCAGTCTCTGTACTTGCCACCAGGCTGTGTATGTGTGTTAAGCGAGCTGTTAGTTGCTTGATTCCCTTCGTCTGTGATCTCTCCTCAGGGGAGGTTCTGGGCTGCCTGGAAAGCTGCCAGGACTTGAACACCATTGACTTGGGGGACCTCTGTGTGACTCTTGACATCTTTGTGCTGACATTGCCCCTGGAGATAGAAGTTGTGAACGCAGACATTCTCCACAACAGGTAGGTGGAAAGAGGCCCAGTCACTCACCCACCCTCTGCCTGCCCTTCCCAGTCTCAGCTTCTCTCCATGTGCTGAGACTTGGGATTTTCCTTCTCACAGAGCCTCCTGCAGCCCTAAGAAAACTAAGATTTTTCCAAAATGGGTTCACCTTCTCTAGAGATCCCTTTTCACTCTCTGGAGCCCGTGTGTGTTTATCCTCTCTGGCTCAAAAACTGATGCTCAGTCTGCTCTCTCTCCTGTGGCAGATGCACCTCAGAGAGTAGTGTGTCCTTCACACGCTCTCCAGGGCAGCCATCCTCTTTCCGTTCAGACGAGGATATCATGCACAACTTGGAACGGCTCCCGTCCACAGGAGATGAGAGGTATGGCACTGCAGATGTAGCAAGGCCCTCATGGGCTCCTTTTGCTCCCTTGGAGCTGCACTGTGGTGGCTGCATGAATGAGAATGACTGGTTGATTCTTCTTCTCCTCGCTCCTAGGCACCCTGCACTTTCCAACCTCCCTGGAGTGCACAGGCAGGCTATTGAAGCCACTATGAATGAGGTAAGCCAGCCTTGCCTACTTCTTGCTTTCAGCTGGAGCAATGCGGCCACAGCGCACAACTGCTGTTCCGCACTTCCTAGCCTGCTCCAAGCTGCAACCTCTGTCAACTGAAGTGACTTTCAGGCCTTGCTGGTATCACACAGGCCATTGGCCTTGTGCTCCCCAAAAGTGTGGGATTACCCTGACAAAATTCTTCCTGCAGCTGGGGTGGGACAGACAGACCTCTCTTCCAAAGACCTTTTCTTAGGTACATTCAGAAGGAGATGAGGGGATGTAGGTGATGAGAGGGGCTGCCCTCATCCTGTTGGGACTTGGATCAGAATTGGGGCAGCTGTGCAAATGCTGGTCACCTAGGTCTTGCTCTGTGTCCTTGCTCTGCTCAGATTCGCTGGCTCCTGGATGATGAGATTGTGTCTGCACTGCGCCACTCGCAGGTCATCAGCACCTCCATCCTGCACCGAGTGGCCACCCACATCTATAACTCCAAGGGGCGGCCCAGCTGCCACAGCGAGGTGGTGCTGCTCCAGTTTGTCTTTGGACCTGAGCACTCTCTGGAGAAGTTCAAGGAGGTAAAGAGAGAGCTCTGAGGCAGCGCCATACACTTAGCTAGTGGGATGCTTATTCTTCCCTGTGTTGCAGGAGTTCAGAAGAATGGCTCTGCCAGGCTACATGCTCAATGCAGAAGGCAGTGACTACCACTACATCTCCATCAGCCGCCTGCACTCCAGGCGGGCAGCTCCAAACCCTTCGGGGACACCCTGCTTGCAGCAGCCAGCTGGAGGGGGCACCAGGACAGCCCTGGGCCCGGCAGGCCAAGAGGGGAGCAGTGAAATGGAGGCAGAGGGCTCCGAGCTACACCATGCAAGCTGTGTCCTCCCAGACGAAGCCCAGGGTCTCTGGGGGTGGCAGGAGAGTGAGACACACATTGTGCCAGACACAGGAAACCCCATACGTGGAGGCAGCCATGCACAGGATGAGGTGAGAGACACTGAGGTGGTCTGTTGGTGGAAAGGTGTGGGACACTGGTAACAGAAGGTAGAAGGATGCAGGAGTATGATCGGAGTTTTTTCAATGCCCGTTTTTCTGGTCATTTTTGCAACCTTGGCTTGTGCAGGTCCCAGGAGAAGCGCTGAGCCTTGAGCAGAGCAGAGCACCTGGCCATGACTCCCTGGAGGAGGCAGCTCTAGAGACAACCATACAGTCACTGCCATCCTCATCCTCTGAAAAGGGCAACAGCGAGAAATCACCATTGGTGACACCATCTGCAGCAAGCCTGGCTGACTCCGTAACACAGGGCAGGGAAGGTAGGAGCTGTGAATGTGGGCAGGATTGTACCTCAGCCTCAGGAACTTTTAAGGGAAGGGTCCCGTTTTGTCTGTAGCATACGAAACATGACTGCAACTCCTGTTCCAATCCCTAAACACCATAATTGGTGGTGTTGCACTGTTAGTGTCTTCCTTGCCAGGGTGCTGGCAATTTATTGCTTTACAGTACCCAGGGTACTAGGCTGTGCTGCCACACTGATAGCCCTAATGACATGAAGTTCTGGTGACTCCAGTAATGGCTGTGAGAATCCTATTCCCCAGCACTGCCTCCCCATGGCCAGCGCTGCCTGTTTGTCCTGTGGTGTAATGTTTCTCCATCAGATGGGTTGTGTGAAGGGGCTTAGCAACTGCTCTCATGACCAAACCCCTCTTCTCTTTGCAGGCTCCAGCAAGCAGCGTCCGAGCCGCGTGCAGAGCCTTGTGTCGAGCCAGGGCAGTATGGACTCCGACCACCTGGGTGAGTCTGCCGGAGCAGGGGTTGACTGACAGCATGCAGGCAGACGCTGGCAGTGACATGATAGTGTGGGGGCATGGGGGACTGTGTGCCTGGGCTGGGATGACCCCTGAGCCCTGAGGACAGGGCTTGTGAATGGCTCTGATCTCCTAGAGCCTGCTGTGCCCGGGGAGGAGGCTGGCTTGCCAGGCAGCCTGGAACTGAAGCGAGGATACATTGCAGGTTACGATGGGGGAAGCAGTGACTCGGAGTATGAGGAGGCACTAATGAGCGACCAGGAACCCAGGTGTCCCCTCATGCCAGATTTCTGGCTCATCATAAAAATCCAGCAGGACCGAGTGGAGGTCTATTACCACACACGGTAAGGAGGGTCCTGCTATCTGGCCACGGCTTCCCTGTTTCAGGACCATATTGCTACTCCCTCATCTCTGGACAGGATCTCCTTCCTGCCCCACGTGGGTGGGGAGCTGCAGGACTAGACTGGTGCTCCATAAGGGGAAAGCAGCCACCCTTCCCCACTGTGTTCATGCTCCCAGCACACAGGGACAGGCACTGTTGAAGTGCTCTGCTGACCCCTCTCTCCCCTTCCCTGTAAAGCAGCCTGAGTGTGGAGAAGGCAGCATCAGCAGAGACAGAAGAGGAGCAGCCAGGGGAGTGCCAGAGTCTCAACCAGGTGGTGGTGAAGAAGATCAGTGAAATCTGCAGGGTTGTCAATCAGGTAACAAATCTGTAAAGGGCAGGGGCAGAGCTGCAAGTCATGAGATGGCTTAGATGAGAAGGGACCTCTGGAGGTTGTCTGGTCTGTGCCCAGCTCAGAGGAGGGCCTGGGGAGCCAGTTCAGTTTGTGGAGTCTCAGCTTGGGGGTCAAAGGAAAATGGACTCAGTCTGGCCCTAAGCTCTTCTCCATGCTGTCTTCTGTGGGCTGTGCAAGCAACAGGACCAATCTTTTCTCATCCTTTGCAGCGCTTGCTGCTGCAGGACCTGCATGACAGCCACATATGCAACTCATTACTGGTGGCAGAAAGTGAGGAGGACATCTGGAAGAGTGAAACACCCTATACTTCGTACAGGCAGCGTGTCATGCCCACAGATGGTATGAATATGCCCTTGGCCATGCCTCAGTAGCAGTGCCACTGCCTGCCCATGGGTGACTAAAAAGATGGTGACTTCCACACTATGGCCCCAGCTATGTCCTATGTTCTTTGTAGATTACTCCGTAGAGGAGAGCTACCAGCCCCGGGACTACCTGGCTGCCACCATGCAGTTCATGCCAGGGCACTTTGCTTGTGATGTTGTGTGGAGCACACTCATCCATGTGCATTCGCGCCTCAAGATGGGCCCCAACATGGGAGTCTCACGAGGTGCGTACAGTCCAGGTTCCCCCTCACTTTGCGTGTCAAGAGTCTGGCTTCTGGCTGGATTGGCACACCAGAGGAGGGTGTGTGGGATAGCTAACATCCCACGTTGCCCACAGCTATCCAGGCACTTCGCTCGGTGCTCAACGCCTTCTCTGTGGTGAACAGGAAGAACATGTTTGTCTACCAGGAACGTGCCACTAAATCTGTTTTCTACCTCCGGTAAGAAGCCAGCGTGACTTGTTGGCCTGACCCTGCCCTGCTACATGCATTACACCAGACTGAGAGCTCCTTGGGGCAGAAAGAGTCTGCCCAGCCTCAGAGACCCTGCTGTGACCCAAGCAGCATCTGATTTCTGATGAGTCAGTCACATCAAGCCAGGCCCCTCCTGCTCTCCTTGCACTAAGCCTTTACATGGGAGGGAAAAGGAGGATTTTTTTGAGGGAGCCAGAGAGCTATTTTTCCACAAGCTCCATATCGTAAGGACTAATCCCCAGAAAGTGCACAGGGGAGAGCAAGGAAGACATGGATCTTCTGTGGAGGTATGATGCCGTCGTCCTTGGGAACGGAGGCTGACATGTCTTTCTCCTGTATTCAGACTGACTGAAACGACCTACAGTGGGAAGGTGTGGGAAGCAGAGAGTGTCCTTAGTCCAGCATCTCGCTCGCTGGCGCTGACACGCAGCCAGGAGCCCATTTACACTGAGGATCTAATGGTGAGTCTGCTGCTCTCAGGGAGTGGATGTTGGTGCTCTTGATCACAGGAGTGGAGGGAACTCAGTAGTTCCAGCAACCTCAATTTTATGTAGGATAAAGCTTACGTTGTAGATGTATGGAGTAAGGCAGCAGTGGGTGGGTTCTGCCTGACCTTGCTGACAGCCCGAAACAATGATGGATCTAGAATTCACATGGAAACTGTTTCTGTGTGGCTGTTTTTGCTTCTCCAGGGTTCTCGTTCCTCTCTGGACACAGCCTCGTGCCGTAGTGTGGACTCTACCCGCCCTGTGGGACAGGTAGACAGGCACATCCAGCTGATGGTCCATGGTGTTGCCCCAGCAGGTAAGTGTTACAGCACCTGGCAGCAGATGGACTGTGCTGATGCAAAGCAGAGGAATAGAGCTCCAGTCCCTGCCCTCTTTGCTTGAAGAGCAGAGGAAGTATCTCCCTCCTAAGCAAGCTGCTTTTCCTTAGCCCAGAGCTGCTCTCCATTCTGTCTGGATGGGAATGTGAGGAAAGGATCCATGGCCCACAATGAAACCTCCTGCAGACCAGGTGGCTTATGCCAACTTTCCCTATGCAGGAGTGCATTTGTCTTTGCCTGCTGTACCAGCAGTGTTTTGTGATCATGAACAGGTAGAAAAAGATGCCTGAAGAAATTGATGGTGGGGAAAGACATGTTCCCTGTGGGAAGTGACTGTGAGGGTGGTAGATCCTGACCAGGCAGGGAGGGGCAACTGTGGTCAGTCTTACTGGATGGGGTGAAAAAGCTGCTTGTATCTCTGCTTACTTGTCAGGGCCTGAGATCACAGATGAGCTGGTGAAGGTGTTACGCAGACGCCTGGATGAGGCCACCCTGGATATCATCACTGTGATGCTGGTGCGGAACTGCAAGCTGACCCCAGCAGATGTGGAGGTACCTCACCAGATATCTGCTCTGCTCGTCCCAGGGCCCATAACACTTTCCTACTTTTTGACCTGTCTCAGCCTCTCCTGTCCCAGGGCAGGGAAGGCCAGGGCAGTTTGCTGCATCCCATTCCCTGCTCCAGTGCTTGCTCAGGCTAGTGTTCACCGAGGTATATACTGTATGGGTGCCAGGGTAGGTGGGAGATCACTTTTGCTGGGGTTTGCAGCATGGCAGGGCCTCCCTGTGAATACCCCTGGAACATCTGCCCACATCTATCTCAGGGTGCTGTCTATGGACAGTGTGGTTCTGCCCACCACACTCTCCCTTCACATAGCCAGCTGGCGTAATTTGGATCAGTATCAGAGCCCCAGGGCATCCTGCTAGTCTCAGCTGAGTTTTAAAGCCTTCTCTCTGCAGTTTATCCAGCCCCCTGGGACGCCACCCACAGAGGTCCTGCAGTTTGCACTGCCACCCTCCGCCCTGCCTTGGCTGCATGCGGTGGCCTATTATCTGCGCCAGAACCTGCTCATCTTCCTGCACACCCCAAAGTACACGGACAGCAACGTGGAGCACCACTTCAAGGTGAGGAGGGCTGTGAGTTGGGACAGCAGTCTGCCCAGCTTCTACCTGCTGCTGGGGGCATTTGTTGGGGCAGCTCAGTCATGTTCCCAGCTCTGCCATGTAGCATCAGAGAGGAACTGACACTGAATACTGAAGCCTGGAGGAGTTTCACAGGACCATGAGCAGTTCCTGTTTGGCCCATTATAAACTTGGACAGGCCTTGCTTTGATACAAGTGGTTGCTTGCTGTGCAAAAAGCAGCAGCCACAAAGCTCATGCCCACAATCTTCTCCCAGGAGCATGGGAGAAGACCCCCTTGCAAAGCTGAGCTTGGCTCCTTGCATGGCTCCCTCAGATGTAAAGACTGAAACATCAGGGATAATAAAAGTTTGGAAGCAGCTACCCACCCCCTCAGCATGGCTGTAGCAAGGTTAGAAGGTGAGGCCAGATGTGTAGTGCCATGTAACCCTGCACAGAGCTGTAGGAGGGTCCTGCCCAACAGTGGCCAAGGCTGTGCTGGCAAGTATTTTAAGTAGGTCTGGATTGCTTGCTACAGGTCTGGGGATGAGCTCTGCACGCACGCGGGTCTCTGCTTCCCATTAAGGCAAGTTCTCTAGTCTCTGTCACCGTTCTTCCTTGCTCTCCTTAGCACTATTTCAACCACAGCGGGAGCATCCCTGACCAGGATCTCTATCTGTACAACAAGCCAGGTGGCCAAGGCACTGGTGGCAAAGGTACCGTGCTCAACTCATTTCTGAAACAGGGTATGGGGCTGCGTGTTGGAGAGCCGTTTCCCACGTTGGAGAGCTCTGAGTGACTGAGGAGGGCCAGCGTTGGGGCAGCGTGTTCCTCCAATGGCTGGGAGGTGGGCAGGGTGTGTGCTTGGGGGTCTGCACGCCCTTGCAGGTGTGGTGGAGCGAGCCAAGGCCTCCCACAGAGCAACTTGCTAAGCTTGGCCTGTTGCTGTAGGAAGCAGCTCTAGGTTGCAGTAGTTGTGGGGGCAAGACACAGCAAGATCTCAGTAAGTGTAGGGCACAGAGGCTCAGTGGGGCTGGAGCAGGGACAATTGTTGCTGGAGCCTTGCCATGAAGCGGTAGCTGAATGCCGCGTGTAACCGAGCACAGGCTGTGGGGGCAATATCCTTGCTCTTTTCTCTGGACTGCTGGAGGAGGGATTGGATAGGGCCCATCCTGCAGCAGGCTGTCATGTCATGTTTTGTCCAGGCCATGTGGTCTGTCACCTGGCCATTGTGTGTCTCGTGCCCCTCGTGCACTGTCTGAATGTTCTTCTGTTATGTAGGTACCATGTCGGACCTTGTGCAGCACCTCTTTCCACTCTCCCACTTCCAAGGTAGCACCTGTGGCTCCAAGTATTACTCCGGTTCCCTTTCCCGTGCAGCTCCCTGGCCCCTCTGGTCCCTGCTGTTCTTGTTTTCCTCGTGTTGTGGCTTCAGCTCTGACTCCTCCGTGTGTTTGTGTATGTGTGTCCATTTAGCTGAGCTCCTCTTTCTTGCTGGCTGGATAAATGAGCAAACAGAACCTGCTGCCCTGAGAAGGCAGCTCTGCAGTCCCCGGCTGCTGAGGGTCCGTGTGCTGCCCTGTTAGCTTGCAAGCAGTGAACTCCAAAAATCCTTCACCCTTTTTTCCCCACAGGTCCAAACAGGCATCTCCTCCCTGAGGAAGATGGGAATGATGTTTCAGCCCTGGTTTCATGCTCCAGGGTGTAGCATCATCACTCTCCCAGTGGCTGTGTCCGGGGGTGGGGGGTCCCCTTGCATACCAAGGGGCTAGAGTGGCCGGGCACCACTAGACTTGTACTTTGTATTTCAGTGAGCCTGAGTCAGAGGGGGCTCAGAGTCCCTCACAGATGGGAGGTAACAGCTCCCTAGCACCCCACCTCTCCACGGGATGTGATGGATGAGTATATAGCCAAACTCCAGTGCACCGGGCAGTAAGGTCCTTGGCAGCTCTTACTAACTTACCTCTTTCCATAGCCCCAGCGCTCAGGTCTTGAATTTTTTACCTGTTTTTCACCTGTGACTTAGTGGTTGCATTTCAGCTTCTCTGTGCTACTGTAACAAGATTGGAAGCCCTGTTCCCTGTGGCGGGGAGGCTCGCCTTTCTGCTGGTGGGGCAGGGGCAGCCATCATCTCTGCCCTGAGGGACCAAGCCAGCTGCAGGGTGTTGAGTGCTTGACATTTGCTTGGCAAACCAGCTCTGTCTTGGGGAGCACATGCAAACGAGGAGTCTGCTCCTGCGGCTGCTGACCTGACCTGACCTGCTTGAAAGCACTGCCATGGGTGCTCCCTCTCTAGAGCATGTGTCCCAGCACAAAGAGGACGTGGGACATTGTGCTTGGCTGTTCTCATGTCCTCACCTGAGACGGACTGAAGCAGAGCAGAGCTACAGGAATGGATATGATAGGGAAACCTGCCAGAGAGGGGGAGGCTGAAGGGGCTCGGTGTGGTTTATCCAGGAGAAGAAAAGGGGAATAACTACATCTTAGTCTGCAATTACCCACATGAACATCCACTGTCGTTCTGGTGGGCCCAGGGCTGACTGTCAAGCCAGGCAGATAAGGAGCTTGTGCCCTTTACTGTTTAAAGAGAGAAAGTCTGCTTGGGAGAGCTTATACTCACTGTCATGTGGGGCAGATTTGCTGTTCTGGGTGAAGTCCTGATCCCCTCTACCTTTGATATTTAGGAAATTATGAACTTCTCCATTGTTTGCTGGATAAAGGGTTGTTCCTGTGCCTGTCTGGGGAAGAGACGTGTCAGAGCCTGCTGCAGAGCACCTCTGAGATAAGGCAGTTCCTGTACTTCAAGTGGAGGGGTGCTCATAGGTGTAGGTTTTCCTTTCCTCAGTGTGAGTGCAGGTGAGCTGCCCTCTGACTTGAATGCCCACCTCTGTCCTTTGGGAGCAGCTGTCTCCATCCCAGTGCCCTCTCCCTTGCATCTGGCATGTCTTGGAGGAAAGATTGCTGCAGAGCTTATGCCTCATTAGGAATGATGGAGACCAGGTGGTTGTGCTGATGATTAGACCTGGGCACAGTCTGCTAGGTCTGGATTTGTCTCAGCACAGGGAGGGCACCCATCCTCCATGCGGACTGTGGATCTAGTTGGGTGCAGTTTGGTTGCTCTGTGGCAGTGGAGTCTGGTGTCACTCCCATCCTTGCTGGGATGGAAAAGGACAGAGTATGGGCTCAGCAATGCTGTGGGGCTGAGGTGGTTTGCATCTGGACACATCACCTGTTGGCAGTGTTGGAGCAGCTTTGCCATCCAGTCACCTGAGTGCTGGCTTAGTTGGTCAAGGGACTTTGAAAGGGGGTGGGAGCATCTAGGGTTACAGCATGGGGTTTGGACCTCACAACTGCATCCCTGCTGCTGCTTCCCTGGTGCCCTGGCCAGCGAGCTGGGCCATGGGGTGTGAGCTCCTGTTTCCGCTCTGGTCTGTAGCAGGGCTTCTCCTTCTGCATGGCCTAGGGCATGCAGAACGTGGGCTGCGGAGCAAGCACCACGCTGCTGCTCTGCGTGTCTGAACTGTCCTGTTGTGCATGCATAGGGCTCAGCGTAGGGAGGCTACAGGCAGGGCCTGAATTTTACTCTGTAGCAACTTCAGGCTAATACTACATGTCAGCCTGCTTTGTGCCTAGCGGTGCTGGTAGGAGTGTGTGGAGAAGGCCTCAAGATCAGATCTTGTACAGTGGGGAGGGGGCCGTGAGTGTAATCTGCAACAAGTTGTCATGTATACAGCCTTCCTCTGCAGGGACTCGAGGTCCTTCATAGCCTGGAGAGGGCTGCTGGACAGTATCTGGACTCTGTACTCTGTCCCTTAAGAGGATAGGGATGGTGAGCCCCATCCTGGATCCCTCTGCGTAAAGGCCCTCCTGGGGCAAATGGAGATACTTTCCCCTTGCATATGGGGCTGGACAACCCAGCAAGCTCCTGCAGGACAAGGTGAAAGCTGCTGTGACACTGCAGGAGAGAGATTCTTGGGGTGATGGGGACACCTGGTGCCAAACACCATGCTTCTTACCCTGGCTCCCCACGGGCACAGCTAGCCTATGCTCCCCTGGCTGCATCCCCTCCTGTGGACCCTGCCTGCCATGTGGCACAGCGCAACCCAAGTGGTGACACGACGGTCCCAGGTGCGGGGTGGCAGGCTGTAGGCAGGGCTTGTAGGGGTGCACCCAGTGCTGGGCTGACAGAGGCTGTCTCGGCTTCTCCCCTGCAGGAATCGCATGCATTGCACTGACGTTCGTGGATGAGCACAGCAGCCCCACCTCGCTGCCCCACAGGGAGAGGCCTGACCCTCTGAAGCTGCCTTCCTCCTCGACCATCATGGGCCTGCTGCAGGACGCTGACTTCGAAAGCCTCACTGCGGTCAGCAGGCACCAGCCAGAGGCCGGCACCCTGCATTCAGGTAGGGAGTGAAACAGGCCACAAGCTGCCAATTCCTTGCTGCCTCCGTATCCCCTGGGTCACCTAGGAGAGCTCGCGAATGTGGGAGTGCAGAGCCATGCAGGACTGCCCTTTCGCCGCAGAGCCCCGTGTGCTGGTGCGCCTGGATATCTGGGAGAAAGGCAACATCAGCCTGCTACAGCTGTCGGAGAAGCTGCGTGGGGCCCTGCGCCATGCTCTCTGCGATGCTGTCATGGAGTTCCTCGTGCTGCCGGCCCCGCTCTGCGTGGAAGCTGCCTGCCCCCTGGGTGCCGCAGACCTGGAGGAGCTGAGCTCTGCAGGTGAGAGCTCAGCTGGCACAGCCACCCCGAGCCCCCAGCCAGCCTCACTCCTCCTGCCTGGCCTGCGGGAGCTTGACTGTGCTGTGGGACCTGGGGCTGAGGCAGCTGGGAGGGAGGAAGCTGCTCTCCCCTCTGCAAGCTGCACTGTGTGATGTCTCAGGGAAGAAGCATTATAGAAATTAGGGTTGGAAGAGATATTGAAAGGTCTGTCTGCTCCCCAAGACTGAATCTACTTTGCTGGGTGTTGCTGAGGGCTCTCTCCCTTCTCTCCAGCCAGGCTCTGGCCAGCCACAGTGGGGTACATGGGGACACCAGCAGTGTCGCAGCGGGAGGCTCTGGAGAGTCTGATTTCCTTTGTCTCCACAGGAGGCCTAAGGAGGGCCATGTCAGAGACCAAGGGCTTGGCCCTGGCCACTGGTGGGGCTGGCAGGAGCTGTCCTCCACCCTTGCACTTCACCTCTGCCCCTTCGTCCAGCTCCGGGGAGCCAGTGACACCCACGAGCAAGCTGGGACGCCGCAGCTTCTGGGACATGCTGGTAATGTTGTTAAGGGACCAGTGAGGAGCATGTAAGTCCTCATGGTGTGTCAGGCCAGGAGGAATGGAGAGGAGGGATCTGGCTGGGGTTGGGAGGCCGGGCTGGTAGCAAGGACTTTGAGATCAGGGCGCTAGCTGGGCTGTGCATGTGCACAAGCCTTAACTCAACCCCTTCTCCCTAGAGCAAGGCCGAGTCCTCGGAGCTGGGCAGCCCCAAGACTACTGATGACATTGTGCTGGAGAGACCAGAAGAGGCTCGCACAAGGCGGCGGCACAAGACAGAGAGCGTCAAGCAGCATCTGAGCCAGGATCGGGCCACAGCCACAGCTGAACTGGAACAGGCACAGAGGCAAGCACAGCCTGCAGCCTGGGCAGCCAGGGTGTTGTTCCCCTCCGTCTGCTGTACAGCACTCCGCAGCCTGACATCCTGCTGGCTCTTTCTGCATCTTAACCCCCTGGACCACATGCCCCTTCCTTGGAGTTTCTCCCTTACACAGCCAGTTAGGGGAGCTGCCTTCCACACAAAGCCTCAATCCTTATTGCTGGAGTGCTGCTGGGAGCACTGCTGGTTCTCCCTGCCAGAGATCTCTTCCCTGTACTGTGGGGCCCTGCGCAACACCTGACACCCCTGTGGCTACTGACCCAGAGGGACCAAGCTCAAGGGAGCCCCCCAAAAAGGAGGGTCTCCAGGCTCTGCTCTGAAGCTGGATGGGAAGAGACCATTGCACCTTTGTGCCTTCATTGCTGTTGACTTTGATCTAGTATAACTGTGCTTCCCTTTCCTCTTCCCAGGCGCCGAGCCTGCCAGTTGGAAGAAGGGGATGTAGGTACCATGCATCCACTCTTCAATCAAACCTGCCAGCAGTGGATAGCATTCATGAACCACCTGGGTACGTATCTCAGGTCCTAGCTCCTCCAGATGGGCTGGGGATGGGCCTTTCTTCCCGGAGCTCCGAGGACAAGTCCTTATATGGCACCAAGCCATCCGCCTTCATCCCTTGCTGATCTCTACCTAGTTACGCACCCTGTCTCTCCCCAGACCTCACCAGAGTCCCATTGGTCTCAGGGCCAGCATCAGCATTACAAAGCTGTGGCAGGAGTCTGGGCATGTATCTCTGTGCACCTGAAGAAACCTGCTAAGGCAGTTGTTGCATCTGCCATGCTCCAAGCCCAGGGGTTGTGGTAGTGAAGGAGCTCCCAGATCTAGCAGGGAGGGAGGATCTGAGCCTCTGCAACATGCTCTGGGGCTGTGAAGCTGCATGGGAGACCCCCACTCTTGCAGAGAGGGAGAGGAGGGGGGATGCCCTTTGGGGATTTGGGTCTGTGTGGCTGCCCTGTTGCTACTTTCTGGACACCTCTCACTTCAATGTTTGTACATCCTCTCACACCTCCTGCTGGCAAGGTAAAGCTGTCCTCCTCTGATGAAGAGTAAGTCAGGGAACAAGGAATAAGTAGGGGAATAAAGTGCCACGCTCAGGGCATGCAGGGAGTTTGGTCCAGGTCCCACTTCAGGCCAGAGCCTGAAACCAGGGGTTATTTCAGTCTTTGTCTTCTCCTCCTCCATATAAGGTCCTTGTTCTCCAGCTCTGCCTGCCTCAATCCCTGGCAAGGCAGGAACTTGGCCTGCTCTGGGCAGCAGGCCTGCAACGAGGCTCCCTTAGCCCACTCCGCTGCCCAGGCGGGCAGGGCGTGGCTCTGAGCCCAGCTTGGTGCCTTGTCCTACAGTACTTCTTCCATGCAGGGTGCCCATCAGTGCAACAGTGCTCATTGGAGATTGTGTCCCGTTTCCTCCTGTCCTCCATCCTGGTGGAAGTGGTGAGCCTGGTCACTGCCCTGGCAAGTGACACCACTGTCAAGGTGTTTGAGCGGATCTGGTGAGTTACGCGGTTCATAGGGAGCTGTTTGGCACCAGCAAATGCCTATCAGCTGTGCCAGCCTCTACTCCCATGGCTCTTCTTGTCAGCCACCTCTGGTGCTCTTCTTTGCAGCTACCATCGGGGCACCGCCTTCCTGCCCTATAAGCCTGGCCAGAGCGCCAGCCCTCGCCCTGCAGCCGTCAGACACTTCATCCTGCTGGGACGCAACTTCCAGCAGTGGCGTTGCAGCACGGAACAGGGTGAGTGCCCGGCCAGGGTCCACAGGACTGTGTGCTGGGGGCTCTTGGGATGGGAGATGTATGAGCAGGGTTCCCCTCCTTGCTGGGACAGACTGCTTGTTCCCAGAGGTGGGCAGTGGGTTGTCTGTTCTCAGCTCCTGAGACCTTATTCTCAAATTTGCTTATGACTGCTTATTTCAAGATGAACTGAGCAGTACTGTGGCACAACATCCTGTTGTGCCACCTTAATGGCATGTGGGATGTAAGAGTGGGATGAACTGGTCTGAGGGTCCTAACTCTGGCTTCTTCCAGCTCACAAAGGGCTCCAGCGCTTCGAGGCTATGGAATTCAGCTCGGCAGAGAGAGGCTCTGACCCAAGCCTTGTCAGACGAGACCTGGCACCTCGGCAAAGGTTCCTCTTCATGGAGATCATTGACAAAAAGGTAGCAGTGAAGCCTGTGTGATGTCTCCTGAAAGCCAAGCTGTTCCCAACTGGCCCAGGGCTAGAAAGAGGAGAGGAAGAGTGCCTTTGCAGGTCACCAACCTTCCCTAGGCAGGAGCCCTCCAAAGCAGCTGTGCAGGACATCTCTGCTTGTGCTGCAAGCAGAGCTGGGGATTCCGTGCAGCACTGTGGGGAGCGTCGAAGGGGCAGCAGCCCTCGCTGTCTCTGACTTCAGCTGCCCCACTGTGGACTATAATTGCCCTTTCCCTCCCCACAACAAGGTCCACATCAGGCTGGGCGCTTGTGCTGCCAGTGCAGGTACCACCACCACTGCTGTGGCTGTTAACAGGGGGACTGTGAATGAGCTGTTGTCACTCCCTGTCCCAGCCTTGCCATTTGAAACTGGCTGGAGCTGCAGCAAGTACCAACCAGAGCACCTGGGGCAGCCTGTGTCACCATGCAGGCCCTCTCTGAGCAGGTCCCTCAGCCTTCCTCCCTCTCATCTCTCTCCAGCTGACGCTCTACACCTACAACTGGTCCCCAGACCTGGGGGCCAACCTGAACTGCTCGCTTACTCGCCTGCTGCAGTGGCAGAATGCCCGGTCCCACATCGTGCACTGCCTGCTCAGCCAGAAGCTGGGACTCTTCCACCACCACTGCTTCATGGACACACCATGGCATGAGGACAGCAAGCAGGTAGGGCACCCTGCCGGGCAGGGCAGTCCTTTTCCCTTCAGGAGGGGCCTTGGCAGCTCGAGGGTCTGACGAAGGTTGGAGACACTTCTGTGCTTTTGTGTGACGGTTGGCAAGTCATCCCCAGGTGCTCACATGTCAGACTGTGGCCGTGTCCAGCCAGGCTGTGGCTGTCTGCTCTTGGAGACAGCCAGAGGTTGGAAGGGAAGCAGGTTCTGCTGTTGGCACCACTTATCTGTGACTAGATTATTCAGGGTGGAGGAGGCTGGGGAATGGGCTTCCCACTGCACATTAGGGCCATGCTGGGCCAATGCCTGCTCTCCTCAGGACTGGTGATGGAGAAGGCCAACAGATATGTCTGCAGATGACCAAAATTGGGTTTACTCTGTTCTTGTGGGTCTTTTCTCTAAGGCTGGCAGTAAGGAGGCTTTCATGGCTGTGTCTGCTTGCTTAGGAGCCAAATCCTTTCCTGAACTCCACTTTGGAGGTGGATGCACTGATCCGGAGCTCCAGCCCCCCACCTAGCAAGGAACAAGGCCGGCTGAGCAGCTCTGCCCGAAGCCTACCGTCTCTGCATTTCCATCCTGATGTGGTGCCCTTTGACGAAGCTCTGCGGGATGTTACCACCATCAAGCGCATACCCCATGGGCCTGAGTTGGGACCTTTTGACCCCGTGTCTCGGCATGGGGCCCAGTTCCTGGAAATCAAGAGCATGGAGAGGAAAGGTAAAGCAAGGGGCTTGATGTCACGGGAGCCTGCCTAATCATCTCACTCCTGGAAAAGGAGCTCAGAACGAGCAGAACAAGAGTTCTGGCAGAGGGGACAGTTTTCAGCTGCTCCTGCCAGGGTGCTGTGAGGGGATGGGTTATGACCTGAGTAGGATGGGAGCGAAGGGGAGTGGCAATACTTGGGGTTGTGGCTTGATACTCTCATGGCTGCTTTGTTTCCTCCAGAACTGGAGAAGCAGATGAAGATTGAGAATCTCTTTGTTACCTGGCAGCAGAGATCAGCGCAGTCCAACATGCCTATCAGTGTGAGTGCAGCCCAGGTTGGGAGGGCAGCAGGCTGGGTCTTCTTACAGCACACTTACAGCTTGCCTATAGCAAAGGGAGAGCACTGGAGCTCAGAGCAGGGTGTATGTTGGGGATGGTGTTTGGCAGTGGAGCAGTGTTCTCTGCTTGAACTTCTGGGGTTGCTGGGCTCTAGCACCAGACTTGGGAATGGGGCCTTGCTGCCCAGTGCTGGAAAGGCTGTAAAGCAGGGGGTTCCCTCTAGAGTTTGATCCCCGTTTAAGCAGCAGTGCGGTGTTGCAGACAGCTTGTTCCCAGGTTGACGAGGGATGTGTGCTGTAACCGTGTTCCTCTTGTGCTGTGCAGCTGGCAGACCTGGAGACCCTGAAGCAGTCGTCACGCCTGGTTCACTACTGTGCTACCCCCTTGCTCTTTGACCCAGCCTTCCGGCAGCAGATCCAGACTGACCAGCAGGGCAAGGTAGAGGGGAAGGTGAGTGTCAGCAAGTGCCAGTGGGGTTGGGCTCTGTGCACTGGGGCAAAGGATGGCTTTGCAATCTTTTCCCAAGACAGGGCTGCTCTGAGCTCACCCCTGCATTACAGGATGAATTTGCACCTGTAAGATGGAGACTGAGAAAATCTTTGGGTCCTCAAAACCTTTCTCCTGCAGCCACACCATCCCTGGGGAAGACTGACTTCTGTTTTCTACCCAGGGAATTCAGGGCTGAGTCTAGCAAAGCCATTGGAGAGTGCTGTGTGGTACTGATCTGTTGAGGAAGCAAAACTTCACTTTATGCATTCAGCAGCCAGACCTGGTAAACCTTGCCTGGACCCAGCAAATAGCTAGAACAATTGAAAGCAACCCAGCTGAATCCTGAGCAGGTTGCAACCTGACAGACTCTAACCAGCACAGATCCCGCACCGGCTGTTCACTGTCTGTATGTGTGTCAGAAGTGAAGAACAGGCTGTTGTAATTTATCTAACTGTCAAAAGGATTCTGACAGGGACTTTAAACAGAGGTTGCTACAGAAATTGAGCATTCCCAAGAGAAAGGAAAAGTATCATTACAGAATGAAAACTTCACTTTGTTTTTGGAACAGAGCAAAATGAAAATTGTTATTCAATTTCAAGAGCCTGGGGTTTCAAGGTTGTGTATTGGGTTCTATATCTCCAGATCATTTATCGCAGTACATATGAGATGCCAAGCTTTGTAATGCTGTGTGGCTGTTCAGATTGGTCAGAACAGAAAGAGACTGCAAGGAACTCGAGAAGGACCTGAGTAGCCTGTGAAATGAGGGGTATTGTGGGAGCTGGGACCTGGTTCCCAGTAAAACAGAGCACAATGTGGAGAGAAATTTGAACTCCTCCTGTATTGTGCACTAACTGCAGAGCCTGTACAGAGCAGACAGCTCAGTGGATTTCTTCAATTTGTGAACAGTTGCATACAAAAGGCAAACTGTTTAGAGTACATCAGAAAGGGGTGTTAATATTATGGGTAATATTCCAATACATTTCTAAAATACTAGTGTATTAATGTCTTCACCTGGACAGTAAGTGTGAGACCAAGCATCTTGTGGCAAAGGCACTGAACTAGAGAAACTCAGAGAAGGTCAGAGAGTAGCCGGAGAGGCCCCAGGTAAAGAGACTGCTCCTGGGGTAGGTGAATGAAAGGGCAGATAGAAATATGTAAAAGAGCCACAGGCTTGAAGTAGAGAGATCAAGAAAAGAAACCTCGGTCTCTCACAGCACAAAGACAAGGAGTATTCAGGACACCAAAAGGAGAACTGAAAATGGTTTAAAAGGAAACACTGTTCCTATTCAGTGCTACTGAACTATTAGTAAATCCTGAGAAGTCAGCAGGATTCATAAGGGAATTGGACTCTTACATGTAGAGTAGGACCTTCAGTAGGAGCTGAAGCTCTGTTGAGCCTTGCGTGAAACAGTTGTGAGCCACTAAAACTTTGTGGAAGCCATTCTGTGGGGGGAGATGTGAATTATCCCCTTCTGCCAGGGCACCTCTTCCTGCAGTCTATTAGGTCTGCTGTTAGGTCAGTCTATGGCTGGGTAAAACTTGGATCTTGTGTTTTGGCACATGCACTAGGACAGTGTTTGAGGAACTAGCTGTTAGTGCTCTCTGGCAGAGGGAGATCTGCCCTCCATTCAACCAGAGCAGCTGGTGGTGTCCCAGCGAGTGTCACCTGCTGGGGCCAGACACAGCAGGTCTCCTTAGGAAATTATTTTCTCTTCCAGAAGCGCCACCGCTCAAATGACTCTACAGCTTCAGGGAGGGACCGCAGCCACAGCTGTGACTCGGCAGAAGCGCTGCCCTGCAAGGTGAAGGAGGAGCCCTGGCTGCAGGAGATGTGCAATGCCTTCTTGCAGCAATACATCCAGTACCTGCAGAGCATGGGCTTCATTCTGGTCCAGGTGCGGCCACCCTCACCCACCACTCGCAGGTCAGTGACTTTCTGGGAACTCTGTTATTGGAGAAGGGCCAACACACTGAGCTATGCCCTGGTTTGACACAACAGGACATGTTGGCTCCCCTGCTCAAGGCTCTCTCTGCTGTCATTTCCAGTAGCACAAGCCGGATCCGAGCTCTGGCAGCAATGGGCGTGGAGGGGAGAGGGTCCTTCTCCTACACGAAGCCAAAAGCAGAGGGGAGTCCAAAGGTGAGTGCATGTCTGTTAGAGGGGTGGAACTGGGATGGAAGTCAGGCTGTGGAGTGGGGTGGTTCTCCTGGTTGGCTTTTGAATCGGTTTCAGACAGAAAGGATGTGAGAGGGCAGAGAAAGTACCAAAGCCAGAAAAAGAGTCTGTCTAGACCAGCACCATCTTTGAGATGTTGGGTCAGATGAGACCTTCTTGCTCTCCTGCATGTCTTCCTGCAGCCCCTTCCTGGGACTGGGTCGAACCAGGGCAAATCTCAAAAGGATGGCAACAACTTGGAGGGGGCTCAGAAGAGGAACAGGGTGACCTGGGTCCAGGACAGCTGCCTTTGGGTGTGATTCTGGAGGTTTACCTGTCAGAGAAACCTCAGCACCTATGGTGAAGGGCAATTCTGGGGCAGAAAGATCTTTAGTTAAAGTGAGATGAATGCTGAAGTTGAAGAGATCAGAGAAGATAAACCCGGAATGGCTCTACTGCGAGAGCAGGCTGAGCAGGCTGAGGCTCTTCATTTCTAAAGAAGTTGCAACTAGGGAGGGACAGGACAGAGCTCTACCAAATCGCAGCTAACCTGGGAAGGGATTGACTCCTTGCTGTCTTATTCGATACAACACCTAGACACCATCAGATGAAAGTATTGGGAGCCAGTTTCAAAGCAAAAGGGAGTGTTTCTTTGTGCAGCAGGTAACAGTGGTCTTTATCGAAAGGTTTTGTGAACACAAGAGCTTACAAGACGGAATAGGTAAGTACCTGGAGGAGGAATCCATCTGAGTCGCTGGATAGGTAGAAACCATCTGTGGCTCATGAAGTCATCCAGGGATGATGGGAGCACATAGCATTTGCTCACCTACCTTTGGCTGATGTTGGTACAGGATTGTGGGCAAAACAACACCTTGCAGTTAAAATGAGAAGAGAGCAATCCACTGGAACAAGTTAACAAGGGTCAAGTGAATTTGCTGGCAGCTAAGCTCTGAGTCCAAACTGGACGCCTCTGATAGCTGCTGTGTCGGGCAGATGTGATGGTCTGGAGAGTGCTCAGCAGGGAGAGGTGGGAGCGAGGTTTTGTGGGCAGCAGCACCCCTCAGCTCACAGTGTCCTTGAACTCTAGAGGCAGCCTGTCCTGAGTAAGCAGGAGGCAAAGGGAGCAGTGTGCCTGGTGTGCTCTCTTGAAGGCTGTTTATTAGGTTTGTTAGAATTCTTTTCACAGTCAGCTCTGGCATGTCTGCTCTCCTCCCTCCAGTGAGGGTGCTTGGTTGATGACGCTCCTCTAATTCCACATCTGCCACAGAGCCTTGTGGCAGCCTCGCACTCTGGTGTGCAGGCTGCTCCCCTGTGCCAGAGAGACTCTCCAGCTTTGTCCTTCTCTTCCCAGAGCACAAGCCCTGCTGTTGCCACCTATCATCTACAGAGAGCTCTTCCAGGTGGGATTGTGCTGATGGAGTTGGCCTTCCAGGTAAGAAAGAACAAGAAACAAAGTACAATCTCTGGGGGTTTGGGGACAGTCTTCAGAGGTGACAGTGTGAGTGATGAGGAGGAGTGCAGCAGGGACATGTGATTCATTCTTTCTTGTCCTGCCTCTTCCATGGTCCTGCAGGACCGTGGATCGTCTAGGGATGGTTCTGCAGGGCTCAGAACAGTAAGAGTTGCTTGGAGGGGGGCTAATAAAAGATGCAAGGGCTCAGCACCAGGTAGGGTGCTCTGTGCTCAGCCATGTGTTGGCTGCGCCAGCTTGGTTCAGACAGGAGAGGAGACAAAACACGGAGCAAGAGTGTCTGGGACCCAGCCCAGAGAGTGAAGCATGGACATGTTGGCTCCCCTGCTCAAGGCTCTCTCTGCTGTCATTTCCAGTAGCCCATGTGCTCTCTCCTCCAGGGCTAGTACTTCTGTGTGAAGCAGTACGCGCTGGAGTGCTCACGGATCCCCATGGGCCAGTCTGTGAACTCCCAGGTAATGGCTTTGCAGGTGCAGCTGGTGCTCCTCAGGGTCAGGGGCTGCTTCAGGAGAGGCAGTGATCTCTGGGACAGAGTGGGCATTTCAGGTGCAGCAAGCTCTGGAGAGCTCTGCTCCCTCCTCCTGGAAAAGCAGAACCGCACAGAGCCTTTTGCAGCCACGTGACCTCCACAGCCTGCTGCTTGAGCAGTTCTGGAGTACAGTGAAAGGGGGTGGGAGGTTTGGCAAGAGGATGACTCTTGTCCTAGCTTGGGGAGCAAGATAGAGGAGGCTGGGGAGGAATAGGAGCAATTCTGGCAAAGATGGCTGCTCCAGGGAAAGTCAGTGCATGGAAAGCCAGAAGCTCTCTGCTTCCCTTGGAACAAAAGGAAAGTGAAATGGGAACAGGGATCTGTGAACATGGATGGCTGCCCTTTGCCAGAGGAGATCACTTTCTGCACCATGAGCCCTGGTTCTTGATACCTCTGTGCTTTGCTCCACAGCACCATGGGGTTGCCTGCTCCCTTCTCTTTTGGTGTGTCAGGGTGTCTCCTACCTGTCCCCAGGGCACTGGTGTGGCTGTCTAGAGGCTGGCCAGCCCCAGCCTGTCTGAGGCAGGAGGCGTGCATAATCATACTGTCCTTTCCAAGGTGGCTCTGTAGCAAGACTGCTTCTTATATACATCAAGAGTGGCTCTCCTAAGCTTAGAGCCTGCCAGGGCCTCGCCTGAGGGTTTGATGAGCCTTTCCTGGGAAGCCCGCATGTGCACAGGGCAGGGTTACCACAGAAGCTGGCCAGCCCCAGCCTGTCTGAGGCAGGAGGCGTGCATAATCATACTGTCCTTTCCAAGGTGGCTCTGTAGCAAGACTGCTTCTTATATACATCAAGAGTGGCTCTCCTAAGCTTAGAGCCTGCCAGGGCCTCGCCTGAGGGTTTGATGAGCCTTTCCTGGGAAGCCCGCATGTGCACAGGGCAGGGTTACCAGGCTGCAGCTGGCATTGCAGGGAACATCCAGGCTCTGTCTGGCTGACTTGAAAAAAGACTTTGCCTGGTTTTGCAGTGGGAGGGGTTGGTCCTGGGAGCAGCAGGTGAAAGGCGTGGGGCTTGCTGCAGGGGCCTGGCCAGCCTTCCCACACGCTGGGACTAGCCCAGAATTCCCCCAGATGGGACAGTTGGGCTCCTCTGCCCCTTCTCTCCCCTTGTCCCACCCAGGGCCTGTGCAGGACAGGCTGGATGCAGGAACAGGGCTGGGCAGTGCCTTGTCCCTCTTCCCACTGGCTGTGCATCTCTCTCCATCAGGGCACTCTTACAGCCAGAGCTCGCAGCAAGAGCTGCATGGGACCCAGCTCCGTCTCTGAGTCTGCGGTACGTCCTCTCCTCCCACTGCCATGCTGGGCACAGCAGGACCTGCCAGTGCAGGGCTGAACCTCCCACTGGCTGTGCTTCCACCCTTCCTGCCCCAGTGCCCGGCTGCGGAAGCTGCCTCTTGCCTCCTGTGCCAGTGCCTTCTGTAGCAGTACATACCACAGTGGGCAGCACAGCTTGGGAGGAGGATGGGGTGGGCCCCAGGTGCTGGCATGGGGGCAGCACCTTGTATTTCTTGCTCTTCACCCTGTCTTTCCTGGGGCAGAGCTATAGGCTCCTCTCTGGGCTCGTCCTGGCTGTGCGGGTTGCCCTCTGGCTCATGGCAGTAGCAATGCAGGTGGCGCAGAGAGTGAGGGCAGCCTGTTCTCATGCCAATGCCTCTTGCCTGCTGGTTTTCCCTGCTTGCCCCTTTTTAAACCAAGGGTGTGGGTCAACTGCCCAAAAGTGTCAGAGAGCCCAAAGACATTAAAACTGTGGCTCCTGGCATGAGGGCAAGGCTGAGGCCTTCACTAATGCTGTCCCCTGGCACAGTAGCTGCAGTTGTGGTGGGGGCAGGGCCAGGGGGGTTTGTGTGAAGGCTGGTGCTGCCCCGGTGAAGGACTGGCACACTGGGCAGAGGTGATGGCCATGTGCCAGAGGGGACCTCCCTTTGGGCACACCTATGACACACCAGCCACCACTGGATCTGGCTCCCAGCAGCCAGCCTGGGTCCCTGTTAGTGAGCACAGGGCATTAGCAGCTCTGCTGTTGCCCATCTCCGGGTCCAGCCACTCCCCACAGGCCCCTGTGCTGCCCCCTGCTCTCGGGGGATGTTCAGAGAGTCAATCTTTGCCTGTAGATCCAGAATTTGCTGGGGCTCCAGCCCCAGTGTGTCCTGTACCCACTTAGGGACTAGGCAGTGCAGAGCAGCGCTCAGCTGAAAGGAGGCTGTGTCCTCCTTCACAGCCACATGGCGTTCAGCTCAAGAGGGGGATGAACCTCATGCCAAAAAGGAGGCAGTGCTGATCAGTCTGTGCTGCTACTGGAGACCAGAAGTGGGGTCAAGTGTGGAAGGAGCCACCAAGCTGGATCCCTTGGGGCCAGGCCTGCGGGTCTGCTATTTGCACTGTGCACACAGCTTCTTGGCTGCATCCTGCTCTGGTGTCGAGGCAGGGGTGGCTGCACTGGCTCTGCCATGCCTTGCTGTCAGCAGGGCTTTGCAGGAGGGTGTGAGGTGCCTGATAACATTCCTGCCTTGACTCCCTGTCCCTCCGCAGCTCTCTATGCTCTTCACGGAGGAGTGTGACAAGGTGCGGGACCTCATGCACGTGCATTCATTCAGCTATGACTTCCACTTGCGTATAGTCCACCAGTATCTGCTGGGTTCCCACATGACCCTCCGCCAGGGCTACCATCTCACCAGCTTCCTGGAGGATTTCATTGCGCACCACCCTGACATCCCCAAATTTGGCCGCAACCACGTTTTCCAAGGTGTGTAGCTCAACATGTGATCAGCCTGGGGTTGATTGCAAGCCCATAACTTGGCAAAAGTTTTCCAAGTGCTTTACAAATAAACCTGACCTTTGGAGTATGCCGGGAGATGGCAGGGAGAGGGTGACATGAAGGGCCCAGCTCCAGGGGAAATCCATGCTGCCCTGTTGTGGAAAGGAGGTGGGTTGCTCTAGAGCTCTGTCCCCCAGAGTAGTTTGTAGGACACTGCTCTGCCCAGGTAAGAGGCACTGAGTGTCTCCTGTGATAGCAATGTGTCCTCTTCCACTAGGCATGCTGGCCCTGCCCACCAACATGATCACTGCACACCAGCTGTACAACTACATCGCTGACCATGCCAACACCTACCACATGAAACCCCTACGCATGGCCCGGCCAGCCACAGGCAGTGACAACAAGAAGGGGACACCAGGCACAGAGCAGAACGAATATGCACTGGTCTCTATTTGGAACAGGTGAGTGCATCTGCTGCAAGTTCCTGAGCTGCCGGAGACTGCTGGGCACCCCCCAGTCCTGGGGACACTACCCCAAGGTGCCAGCAAAGTTGACTGTTCTACATGGTGCCAGGCAGCAGTTCTGCCCAGTTTTTCTGAGATGGCCAACAGGGGTGCTGTGCATTTCCCCAGCACTTCTGAGGAGTCCTGCTGTGTCAAATTCCCCATGCCCAATAGTTCCGTTGTGACCAAGAGCTCTGGGGGAACAAAGTGAGGTCCCCTTCATACTGATGTGCTTTTGCTCCCAGCTCGGGCTCCTACAAGGACTCTGAAGGTCTGCGTCATCACGATGACTTCGATGTGTCCCTCCTGGTGTGTCACAGTGCAGCACCGTTTGAGGAGCAGAGTGAGGCGGAGAGACGCATGCTCCGGTGAGCGCTGGGGGCCCAGAGACATGACACCAAAGCTTTCTGGCTAGGGAGGAGGGCTCTGGGAGGGACTGGCTCTGTCTGGGACATCACAGGCAGGTTTGGGGAGGATCCTCACAGGGAACAGGGCAGTGTGGTATCTGTCCTTGTCTGGGCAGAGAAGCACCCTTACTGGCAGGGACAGAGAGGCCCGTGATTTATTTGCAGACCAGCTGAGAAGGGAGCAGCCCTTCCCCAGGTCACAAGTGTCTCCTTGCTCTCAGCTTGCGTTTCTACGTCATCATGACTAGCCAGCGTGAGCTCTTTCCCCGGCTCACAGCCGATATGCGACGCTTCAAGAAGCTGCCGCGCTTGCAGCGGGAAGTGCTGGAGCCTGTGGTGGGCCGGGCAGCATGGGAGGCAGCAGAGCCGGAGCCGCGCCTGGGGCACACGCAGCCCGCAGAGCGAGAGCTACGGGATG